CGCCACTCGGAGAAGAGACATGCGTCTCTCGCCCGAGCGGAGCCCACAGGTCTTCAAAAGTCAGTGGCTTTCCCGCGTCGACGACCTCGAGCCCAAGCCCTCGGCCGTCGAGCTCTACGACAGCTTTGTGCGATCGGTAGAAGCAAACACCTCAGGGATGTACGACTCCTGCATTGACAGTGTCCGTGTCTTGCTCGGGGAGCCAACTGACGATTACAGGCGCCACATTAATGTCCTTACCGAGAACATGCAGCGCAAACTCACACGGACGGTTGAACTCCATGCCCCGGCGACCCGGTGCGTGCTCGAGGAGCTGGACGAGTGGGGCGGCGAGGCGGAGGGCGGCGAGGCGGAGGGCGGCGAGGCGGAGGGCGGCGAGGCGGAGGGCGGCGAGGCGGAGGCGCTGCCGCGGCCACCCTCGCCTCCCCGCGCTGCTCCGCCGGGCGGAGAGGGCGACGGCTGCTTCGCGGACGGGTGGAGCGACAAGGAGGCGGTGCGGTGGTATGACGTGGACGAGTGCGCCGGCGCGGAAGAGCTGACCAGCGACGCGGAGGAGGCGCCGACCAAGCAGACCCTCCCCCCGCCGCCCGGCTTCCTGCGCGTGCCTGGCTCGTTCGCCTCGGCACAGCCGCCGCCGCCTCCCGCGCCGGCCAGACAGCCGAAGAAGCGGGAGCGGCAGGGCACGCTCCCCTTCAGCGCCTCGGGCACCGCCTCCCTCTCCGGGGCGGCGGTACGGCTGTCTGCCGACGACAAGGTGGAGCGGGGCGTGGCGCAGCTCGTCGCGATGGGCTTCGGAGAGAGCGCCGCGCGAGGGGCGCTGAGGCACAGCGCGGCGAACCTGCAGGCGGCGGTCGAGCGGCTCTGTGGCGGAGCCCCCGGCTAACCCGCCGATGTCTGGCATTGGGAGAGGCTCACTCGAGCGGAGGGAGACGGAGCGCGCCAGCCGCCACACGTCTCACATGCGATGAACACATGCACACACTGGGGGCCTCGCAGCGGGGCCATATACGCACACGTGACGATTCACGTGCGGGAGTACGGGGTGTGGACCCTGAGTTGACCAAGGGTTGTGCGCTGGGCCCTCCTGCTCGGCTTTAGCCAGTAGACAAGTCTTGTCATCAACAGAGTAGAAGGATCTGATCTCGGGGCCGATGTGACCAAGCGCTGGTAGCGTGGTTTAACCTCACACCCATGGTCTCACAGTGTGCCGGCAGTCGCCGAGCAGTGTCGCTCACACAAGCCGCAGCACAAGTGACTGAGGGCCAGTGAGGGCGAGCCCATCGCTGTCACAGCTGTGGCAGCCGCACAGTAGGCTGTGTCAACTGTGCAGAGTGTGTGAGCAGCAGAGGAGCTGCTCTCCAGGCTTCTGTCGCAAAGAGCTGCATGCCACCGAAAGCGCTGTCGAGGTTCGCCGAGCGCGGCGCAGGTTGAGGGAAGCCGCCACCGACGAGCGCGTTGGACTTTTCACTCCGGACAAAGACGGGCACACAGCGGACGGTGCGGGGCGTGTGCCCGTCATAGCGGCGAGGCGCGGGACCGTCTGTGGCGAAGTGGGTCGCGTCCCTCGATTTCCTCAACTCACGGTCCGCTCCCTCTACAGGGGCCATCACGATTTCACGTGGGAGTATACAGTGTGGTCCGGCATAATTCCGGCCAGGTCCACGGTACGTTGCTGTTCTGGTAGCTCTTGGTTGAGAAGTGCGTTAGTGCACCAGACTTCGCGAGCGACGGGCTTACACCGTTGATTACAGTTTTGAGTTTACCGACACAGCAGCACAGTCTTTTAGCGGGATTTTAGATTTTTAGCTCTTTTCACACACACACCGCGCACACACCAATGCACAGGTCTTACTACGAGTCTGCGCTTTTCGCGGCCTTCTGCGCGGTCTGTATCAGCGACTCGAGGTCCTGCTGGCCGAGCTGCTGCAGCTCCTGCGGCCAGCCGTTGTAAATTGAAGCCGAGGGCGCGATGTGTCCCTCCGCCACCAGCCGGAGCTGCGGCGGCGAGGCGGCGGCGTCGTCGAGCGCGACGAGCTCCTCCCACTCGAAGAGGAGCGGGTCGGTCGACTCGTGGAAGGGCGCGAGGTCGACGAGGTGCACCTTGTCGTTCCGGTCCACGTACGCGTCCCACACCACCCGAGCGGGCGCAGAGGGCAGCTCCCTCCCAAACGCCTCGAGCAGGCCGAGGTCGTGCGAGCGCCGCGCGCCCAGCTCCGGGAAGTGCGAGAAGCGGTCGCGCTGGCACGCGGCGAGCAGCCGGCCGCCGGCGCCGCGGAAGCAGCGGAACTCGCGCGAGGGCTGCAGCTCGCACCACTTTCGCAGGGCGAGCACAAAGCCGTGCGGCTCGCCGGCCGCGTCCACGCCTGCGCCGCCCTCGCCGGCGGCGGCGGCGTCCTCGCACATCCGGCGCGCCTCGGTCAGGTCGTGGGCGGCGCGGTCCGACGACTGCAGCAGCAGCAGCACGTCCTCCGAGCTCGTGCACTTGAGGCTGCCGCCCAGCACCCACGCGGCGTCGCGAGGCGCCGACCAGTTGAGCTTGACAAAGACGGCGCCGCCGAGCCGCTCGATGCCGTCGTCGATGGCGCGTCGGACCGCCTCGAACGAGGCGGGGAGCGCCAACGTCGCCGAGCCGTCCGCGGACTCGTCGTCCGCCTCCTCGCCCGCCGGGCTCGCGCCAGCCTCGTCATCGCCGCCAGGGAGCACGACGCCGTCGGCGACGAGGTAGGCGGCAAAGTCGGACGGAAGCGGGACGAGGACGCTCCGGATGGTGAGCCGGCGCAGGTCCGGGTACCACCGGTCGATGCCACAGCTGAGGAGATCGCTCGACAGCATAGCTGCAAACGGAGGCGAACCAAGCGGCAGCGAGAAGAGAATTTTACCATACAAGCCCCTCTCACAGCAGACTGGCTCGGACTGGCACTACAAATGGCACGAGAAGAGAAATACCAGACAAAAAGTGCACCAAGAATGATAGCCATCTGACCTTCGGCGGGCGCGCTGCGGTCGCACGCCTACCCAAGTCATATGCCACGGCGTGCGATCTAGATTCAGCACACGCGCCTCTGCTCGCAACCACTCATCCAATGAACTGTCAAACATTGAGCAGCGGAGGTGTGCCGAGGGGGACCGGGAGGCGGTAAGTCGTCGTCGCCCGGCGCTGCTTGCAGCACCATGGCGAGGGCGCTAAGAGGTTCCTCTTTTCCGCGCCCCCCCCCGCAAGGCGCGCGATACACACACAACTGTCGTCACCCATGAGTGCGAGATAGGGCTAGCTAGCGGCTGGCCAATAGCCTGTGAGGAGGGCGTCCATAGACACCTCACAAGACCCCACACACGGTCTCGTCCATGCCTTGCGGCCGGCGAAGAGATTGCTAGAGGCGGAGCAAGCCTGCTCTAGTCTCACACGTTCGCCCCCGTGCCCGTCGCCTGTCTGTGTTGTTGTGCTGTTGTTTGTCTCTTGGCACCTTGGAGTGCTGGGGGGGGCGACAGGGGGGACGTGGCCTGAGTGATGTGTACGCCCACTCAGGATGTGTGGCAGCCCGCTGGCTGTGTGTCTTGTGAGCTTGTTTGTGTCTGTGTGTCGCTCGTGCGTGTCGTCATCATCTGTCCAGCGTCCACCCATACCGCGTCGGTGTCCAGTCCGAGCCTGACTGTTCTTCACCTTCCTACATACATACATACATACTGACAGTGACAGTGAAGCCAGTGGACGCCAGCGACAGGTGGTGACAATGTCAGCGCGGGACCCTGCGAGTGACAGCGACAGCGACAGCGACAGCGACAGCGAGGCAGCGCCAGCGCCACAGTGAGGCAGCCATAGCCCTAGTGACACCAGCGAAGGGGCCCAACCGCCCACCCACCCATCTGTGCATTACACCCCATGGACTAAAATAAGACACCGGTGCGCGTGGATGTAGCTCTCAGCGCTTGATGCACAGCAGCGTTTGTACGTCTCACACATTTTGCAAAACTCCTGCTCCTCTGCCTCAGAATTTCTCTGTGTAGGGCGAGCCTGCTTTCTTGTAGCTGAGCCGAGCTCTCTACACATGAGAGTTCCTGATCAACGCCAGTTGTGGCTCGGCAATGGCCAAGAGGTTCAATACCCGAGGTGTGTTGCTCAACGATGCTCTGCGCGTTTGCTTGCGATCGTGGATTTCAAGGTCCCAATCCCCTCGCGGTTGATGATTGACGCCGTTCGCTCGCGTGAGATTTTTGAGCGGCAGATGAACCAGCGCTGGAGCCCATCACGGCACATGCTGGAGGAAGGAGGGCAAGGGTTTTGCAGATTCTGTGACTCACGCCCGCTGCTGCTGACACGGTGCGTGGCTACTGTTGAGAGGGTTTCTCATGTGGCGTCGGGCGTGCGAGTGAGCGGTCGCGCGCGCGTGCGTGCAGATCTTGAGTGTCCTGTCTCTCTCGTTAGTGGCACCACATCCCATTGTGACACTGTCCTGCGGGGGTGCTCATGAGAGACAGCCAGCAATGACAGCAGCAATGACAGCAGCAAGAGAGAGATTTTTCTTTTTTGAAAATCAACAAGAAATCGCGACTTCACACCTGGATGTGAGGTTGCCGACTGCACTCCAAGTGCTCCAAGTGCTCACAGTGATTTGGGCTCGGCAGCTTGTCAACCCTCAGCCGAAGCTGGGGCCGGTCCCGTTAGCCGAGAGAGCCCGCGTCGATGAGCAGCAATGACAGCAGCAACGACAGCAGCAACGACAGCTGGTGACAGCTGGTGACAGCTGGTGACAGCTGGTTGGTGACAGCTGGTGACAGGTAGGTGTCACTGTCGCTGTCGTTTGCTGTCATGACAGCTCCCACCCAGCTGTCGTGACAGCGGCTAACGGTCGTGACAGCGGCTAACCGTCATGACGTGATCTTTCCATAGTCTCTGAAAACAGGTGAGGTCCAGTACTTCCCCCACCTGCCTCCTGGGTTTGCATTCGGACCTCACCGTGCAGCGCGAGTGGAGCCGGGAGGAGGCCACGGGGGCGCTGCAAAGGCGGCGGCGGCGGCCATGGCGTGTCGCGCCAGACGAAATGAAGAAACCATCGATCTTCACGGATTATTCCTGAGTGAGTGAGTATTCCCTTATACGAAACCACGACGACACACACCAGTCGACTCGCATCGGTTGCCTCCATTAACGGCGGAGCTATTCTCGCGCCCACACCACACCTGGCTCCACAACGTGGACACGCCCATAGCTGGGGACACTACTAGGTTCTAGGTCATGCATGGCATCAGAAGTTTTATCTCTGGGCCCCGAAACGCATCTCTAGCAGCGTCGTTACGCATGCGCCCTCCCCTCCTGGGCGCATGCGCCTCACATCTCGCCAGAGCATAAGCTCTTTTGGTGTGCCACGACACGAACGAGTTTTTTGCCATCGCAGCGAGCAGCAAGCCGCCCGCCGCAAACAGCCGGAGGCATCGCCACGGCACTGACTGCGCCGCGATCCCGCACCCGTCGACGAAGCTCCCCCCGCGGAAGACCGCGCGTAGCGACGCCTTGACGATCGAGATGAGCGCGCTCGAGGCTCGCCCACCTACTGCCCCTGAGAGTTGGTTACTGAGTGGGATCAGCTCCCCCCCTTGGGATCGAAACCGCCACAACCTCACACCCAACACCACAGGTGGGATCAGAGAGAGACTCCGCACCGGACACCGCACAGACAAACACACACACTCACGGATTCTTCCTGATAAAAGAAAAAAATCGCTGTGAACGTGGAGCGCGTGGGTTGTGCGAGGCACGCCTCTCCCCCACATCGCCCCTCGCCGTGGCCGCGAGCCGAGATTCGCCGCCGCCCGCCGCTGCAGGGGCCGCCATGGGGTCGCTCATCATGAACGAGTCCAACTTCCAGCACATCCTGCGTGTGCTGAACACCAACCTCGACGGAAAGGTCAAGGTGATGTTTGCGCTCACCTCGATCAAGGGTGTGGGCCGCCGCTTCTCCAACATCTGCTGCAAGAAGGCCGAGGTGGATCTCACCAAGCGGTGCGTCCCTCGCCCTCCCTGCCCCCCCTTTCCGCTCTCTCCCCCTAAAAGCGGCACAGGGCGGCCCAGGGCGTGGCAACGGGGGCCGCGCGCTGCCGGCGCGGGCGGAGTGCGCTGACCCGCGCGTGGCCGTTCGGCTGCAGGGCGGGCGAGCTGACTGCGGAGGAGGTTGAGCGGCTGGTGACCATCATGCAGAACCCGCGCCAGTTCAAGGTTCCCGACTGGATGCTCAACCGGAAGAAGGACAACAAGGACGGAAAGTTCTCGCAGGTGGTGTCCAACACGCTCGACATGAAGCTGCGCGACGACCTGGAGCGGCTCAAGAAGATCCGCGCCCACCGTGGCCTCCGCCACTACTGTGCGCGCGATCCTTCCTCCCCCTCCCCTGGCCCTGGCCGTGCCAGCCGCCCGTCCTTGGGCTCCCGCCCTGCCCTGCCCCCCCCCCCCCCCGGCTCACCCGTCCGACGTTCGACCTCCGCAGGGGGGCTGCGCGTGCGCGGCCAGCGCACAAAGACGACCGGCCGCAAGGGCCGCACCGTCGGTGTGTCCAAGAAGAAGGGCTAGGCGTGAGGCGGCTGTGGCCAGCAGATGTGGTGGTACGGGCCGGTGCGCCGCGCCGCGCCCTCGCGCCGTCCGCAAGCGCGCCGTGTGTGCGCGCGCTCCACCTCTCTTCACCCTCGCGGACGCGGCGGGCGAGCATACGCAGCGCGCGGAGCCCGCAGCGCTTGGGGGAGGGGGGGGTGGAAGTCCCGCGGCGGGCTACGAGTATAGGGGTCCGGTGGGCCGTGTCACGGTCAGTATCACGCCATCTGCATTCTTAATCTTCACTCTCTTTACTGTCTACCCGCTGCGCGCCCCGGCCGCGTGGGGGCGCGGCGACTCTGCCTCGCCCGCGTCGGGGCGCACGCGCACGCGCCAGCCGCCACGCGCGCGGGGCTGGGGGCCGCACGCGCGACGCGGGCGCCACGGCGCACGGCCATGGGCGGGGACGGGGGGGGCACCCGGCTCGCGGCTGCGGCTCGCGACTGGGGCGCCGGCGCCGGCGCGGCGGCGGGGCGCGTCTCTCGCGGCTCGCGCGGGCGTGTGTGCGGGCGCGCGCGTGATGCC